CACCAAGCTGAAAAAAGAACTGCAACATATATGAAGATCTTTTCCAAGAACTTCTTGGGCAGAAAGATTCTCTCCGAGAAATGACACAGAAGATGGAGGAAAAAGGGAATGTCATGGAAGAGGCCGCAGTCCAGGCAAGCAATATGGCCAATAAGCTGATAGACTTAGCTGACTTTACAAGGAATTGTAGAAGAATGATAACTCAACTTTTGAGCATGACTAAAAACTAACTTGGCTTTAGAGAAGAAAATGGGAAAGTTTTCCCCTATATGTAAAGTTTTCCCCTATATGTAAAAGTTTTGTTTGATGCACGATAACTTTTGTGTTCAATGAAATTTGTTCTAAGACGATCACTCTTGAGTAACACCTTTTCATACATGCATTTGCATTTTGCATTTTCATTTTGCATTTGTTGTTTGCTTTTGTATTGCATAATTTGCATTTTTTCTATATTCACATCTTTGTATTTGCATTTGCATCTTTGCATTTTTATTTACATTTACATTTTTTGCATTTTCGTATTTGCATAATTACATCTATAGTTTCAAACTTACATCATGCATTAAAACATTCATAAATAAGGATTTTAACCAAAGTGATATTGGTTCTTCCTTATAGAATACTTAGCACGACACAAGAAAAATGTCTAAAGAAACTGACGATAGGATAGCCAAATTTGAGATAGAGCAAAAAGAGAGACAAAAAGAATTGAGGAACAAGTTGGCACAAATTGAAGATAATATCGCAAATTCTCATATTGATACTGAACTATATGAAAGAAATAATCAGGAAGCATCATACCGCTGGAAAGAGTCTTGTTGAAAACCCCACAAATCCTCTGGGTGTTACACCTGTTCACATTCCTAAGCACACCTCTGTACACCAGGAAATTCAATCACCAGTTCATTTCGCTATTAAGAACTCACAACATCAAGCTGGAGCATCGTTCCCCACTTATTGTCCTACTGCTTATGGGTTGAAGACAAATAAATTTTGTACTGCTTCTGGAGAGACGGTTGAGTCATTTTATCGGTTTGACGCCAAAGAGCTATGTTTGGTCCCCGATCTAGTTCTCCCACCAAATTTCAAAGTTCCAGATTTTAAGAAGTATAATGGGACCACATGCCCTTCATATCTTATCAACATGTACTGTCGTCGTATGACTGGCTATGTGGAGAATGAAAAGTTGTTGATCCACTGTTTCCAAGACAGTTTATTGGGGTCTGTATCCAAATGGTATAATTAGCTAAAACATACTCAAATACGTTCTTGGAGGGACTTAGCTCAAGCCTTTTTGGGTCAATACAAGCATATGCCTGATGTGGCCCCTGATCAAACAATGTTGCAAAACATGAATATGAAGTATAATGAAAGCTCTCGACAATATTCACAACGATGGAGGGACGTTGCTTCTCAAGTGCATCCACCATTGACTGAAAGGGAGTTCACTACTTTGTTCATCAGTATATTAAAATTTCCCTATATTAATCACATGATAGGGGTTGTCCTTAATAATTTCTCTGACATCATCATGAGTGGAGAAATGATCGAAATAGCTATTAAGAATGACAATATAAGAGGCTCTGACAATACTGACATCAAGAAAGAAGTTGAGGATAATGCAGTGAGGTCTTATTCAGTTAAACATGGTACCAAACCTTATAGAGTGATCAAGAAAAAAAATGTGCAAGGTTTTCAATTTCCTCCCTTCCACTATTCGAGTGAAAAATTACATCCAAAAATGCTCTCAGCCAGAGTAACTACTCCACGACTTGTTCAACCACAGTGGCCTCCAAATGAGAATTGGACCTATAAGGATGTTCCTTGGATAAATCAGACTGGAATTCCAAATTATTCAGCTAAGGTTCCTGGTAACCTTGAGGGAAATTTCCAAGATCCTTTAGAACAATCAATTCAAAAATGCAAGATAAAAGAAGGGGTTAATGTTTAATGTTCAGAAATCGTTGCTTCAACAGAGACTAATGTGATAAAATCCTACGAAGAATATCGGGTGCAAGAAAATGGGAAAAGAAATCAAAAGGCTCCCATGGATGTAATTCGAGATTGGCCTATAGGTCTAAGAAAGAATGGGGTAGATATATAACCCAAAAGACACATCAGATACCTATAACCAGTCAAGCAATGGGAAACTTAAGGAGTCTGGTTGATAATACCCCAGTTGTAGCTGAAATGAACATCCAGAACCCCCTCGATCACAGGAGAACATTTTGTCGTTCAGAACGATCAAGGAAAGTGATAATCTCTCGAGCGAGAAAAACTCTTAAGGTGTTTCAAGAATCTATTTCAGATCTGTACCCTCATTTGGTTAAAGGCCAATACATTACACCAAGATGGGTGAAAGTGTCATCAAACCCTTATCCCCATTGCTATGATCAAAATAGCTTCTGTAATTTTCACTTGGGAGTATTTGGGCATTCAACAGGGAATTGTTGGTCACTGTTAAAAGAAATAGAGACACTCATTGACAAGGGAGTCTTGACAAAAGAAATGATCAAGAAATGGGGGGCAAATAAAGATGAAAATCTTGGGCCAAGTACACACCCAACATTTGAGGAATGATAGATGCAAGCTAAATAAACAAGTCGAAGTTGTTATCTACCACTGTAGTACTTTCTATTTTCAGCATCTTGTTTGATTATGTTTTTTGTTCCTTTCTTCGCCTTTTGTGCAATAAATAAATTTGTGTTGCTTTTATGGTTATGAGCAAGGAATTAAATTTTAATCTTGAAGTTTTTGAGTATCAAGTAGATTAAATATTCTTTTTCAAGAATTATAGATCTTTGGCAAGTAGTAAAATTATACATTCCATATCCAATCCAATGCCAATTACTTGACCCTTACTAAAAACCAAATTTTAACCATACATTTATCTGAGACTCTGAAGTCATGTCTCTACCTACTTTTGAGACACCAAATCCAGATGTTTACCTTCTTCGGTAGAGTTGATTGGTTCATTACCTTCCACCATATACCTGACTTCAAAAATCATGCCTTTGTCCTTCCAAATACAAAACCATAATAAACCAAAAGACCTCAAAATAACCAAACTTTCAAATTATCCGTAAATCTTTCTGCAAGAAGAGACGAGATGAGGCATCATGGATAAACTTATAGAAGATAATTTCGAGTGATTGTGACATACTCAAAGAAGAAGAAAAAAGATTGATTTAGATAAATATATCATGTATTAATTATATTGTTTTCATGTAAATAAAGATTAATCTTGAATATTCATCCCCCTGGGGATACCTCTTTTACAAAGGCTTCTGTGTATGAGATGACGAACGACATTGTTTCATTTATCTTTTCAAATATATGTATAAATATATATCCCTTATTGTCCCCTTTTGAGCCTATAATATTTTTTATGATTCAACCCTAATAAAGGATCACCCTCCACATTGGGGGGTAAGAAGTAGGATGTCTACTCACAAGAATAAAGATTGGCAATTACATAGGCAAATCTTCATAAAATGGAGAGAGTTTTGAACTACAAGTTAGGTCAAATACAAAGTGCTTGAAGATCAATCCAGTCAAGAATAATAAAAGAATTTTTGAAATATAAGAGGAAAAAGAGGTTCTCAAAGCAATTGAAGTCCTATATTCAAAAAAAAGGAAAAAGGAAAAAAAAAAGAAAAAGTTGAATCAAGATGGGTGACTCATTGAGCCTCAAGTTACAAGGTTGATCAAGTGTAATAAGTTCAAATATTCATATTCAACAAGAAGCACAAGAAATGCTAGAGATGAATGAATCTTATGGAAAACATCCCCAGCAAAGCAGATCCAAGTCAAGCAAGGCAAGATTGAAGGCATCAGAATGAACTGATCCTTGGTTCAATTACCCTTAAACACTTGTTTGGGCCTTTTATCCCTTTCTTTCGTAACCATGAACTCTGGCCTATGTTGCATACCTGAAAAGTCCATTCTAATCATACATGAATTTCTATGTGAAAGAGATTATCTTCATATTTCATTCCGCCTTTCAAGATTGATTTTTTATTTGCAAAAATTGGTTTTTTTTTTAAAATCATTAATGCATGATATGAAAAATTATAAAAGAGGGGTTCAAGATGTAAATTTTTAAATAACATCTTGGAACCAAATGAGGATTCCAGTTGAAACCTGAAAAGGAAGCTCGAATATCAAATGGTGCAACAACGACATAAGAGACGATCTTAAGCTCTTGATTAAGCACCACACATTCCAAAGACGGAAGTATCTCTATAAGATAAGCATAACAACCATTCCTTCAAGATAGTGGAAGCTCAAAGAGACATATATGCTGGATCAACCTGATAGACCTTACTTTACCAGAATCAACCTAAGCCCTAAATCAGTCAATAATTTTGGCACTTGCCATAGGACTATGATTTTATGAGTTAAAAGAGTAGTTGATTTATTTGATATTCATTAAACTCATGTTTTATGATTTGATTCTATTGTGAACCTGTAGAGCAATACTTACAAATTCTTTCATTCTTCGATAAAGAAAGGAGGAAAAACATTTTCAAACAGGATAGTCTCAGATGAGGAAGGTCCTTGAATCAAGTTATTGTCTATTATACCTCTATTGAAGAAAAAGAATGAATGAGGTCAGAATAATGAAGCATTTCACTTCCTTGAAAGCAAGGGGTCAAAGAAGGCAGAAAGTCTGGAGAATTGAACTTGTAACGATCTCCTGTGACATCATTAGCAATTCATCAAGAAAGATTATCCTATTTAAAAAAAGACACTTATCTCATGCGGAAGGCGATAAGCATCACCTGACAAATTATTCTCCCTAACCATCAATCCATGTTCTCTAGAAGATTACATCACAGAGCCATAAGTCTCATAAGAATGGGATATGTAGGTGTGTATCTTAAAGCAACAAAAGAGACAGTCACTGTAGCAGTCATTGCAAGAAAATGCACTAACAAAGATCTTCTAGTACATCTCGATGATGTTTATTTCTTCCGGTAAGGTTGTTACACTAGATTCCACTGACAACAAGATCAAATTCATCAAATCTACTCATCAATTTCTCCAACTGATCATCATTCAGTTCTTTCACATATGCTTTCAAAAGTATGCTGAGATAGTAGAAGGCAACCTCTACATCACTGATCCTAGAGAAAAGAGACATAACATTGATACCACCGGGGAACATGTCTCTAGCAGATCCTTCTCCTCGTGTATGGTTTTTATTCTTCGATAAAGAAAGGAGGAAAAACATTTTCAAATAGGATAGTCTCAGATGAGGAAGGTCCTTGAATCAAGTTATTGTCTATTATACCTCTATTGAAGAAAAAGAATGAATGAGGTCAGAATAATGAAGCATTTCACTTTCTTGAAAGCAAGGGGTCCAAGAAGGCAGAAAGTCTGGAGAATTGAACTTGTAACGATCTCCTGTGACATCATTAGCAATTCATCAAGAAAGATTATCATATTTAAAAAAGACACTTATCTCATGCGGAAGGCGATAAGCATCACCTGACAAATTATTCTCCCCAACCATCAATCCATGTTCTCTAGAAGATTACATCACAGAGCCATAAGTCTCATAAGAATGGGATATGTAGGTGTGTATCTTAAATCAGCAAAAGAGACAGTCACTGTAGTAGTCATTGCAAGAAAATGCACTAACAAAGATCTTCTAGTACATCTCGATGATGTTTATTTCTTTCGGTAAGGTTGTTACACTAGATGCCACTAACAACAATATCAAATTCATCAAATCTACTCATCAATTTCTCCAACTGATCATCATTCAGTTCTTGCACATCTGCTTTCAAAAGTATGCTGAGATAGTAGAAGGCAACCTCTACATCACTGATCCCAGAGAAAAGAGACATAACATTGATACCACCGGGGAATATGTCTCTAGCAGATCTTTCTCCTCGTGTATGGTTTTTAGGGAAACCTAGAAGTATTTACACCTCATTAGGTTCAAGTGGAACAACTTTATTCCTTCCAACCCATACCAGATTCTATTTTCGGCATCATCAAGAACATACTTCTGAACACTCGAGGGTGGCTCATCATCATAAGCTTCAAAAGCCTTACAGATCCTTTCTGTCAATTTGGCATTTCCTGTGCATAAACAGTTCAACTTTGTTCTTGGATCCCAGGAAAGCCACCATTTTATTGTCAATGGAAAAGCATCATGTATGGTGCGTGGAGAAAGCTGAATAAGAGTAAATTTGTTCTCAGTTGGCAGATTATGAATATAGCTACTTTTTCGTGTAGCAACATAAAAATACTTTGAATCTACAAATTCTAGCTCTACATCATATAAGTACCGTGACATTTCGGTCCAAACACCAACTGGAGCAAGTGCCACGTTCTCGTAGTAGAAATAAGGTGGTCCAATAGCATCTTCTGGAAGTGTCCTTTGAGTTATCTAATCTGGTTCGGTAAGAACCCCAAAACTAATTATTAGATTTAGAAGATAAACTATATGATCGTCTTCATTAAGAAGCTTCTTTTCAAGCTTCATCTGCTTCTTCCTTTTAAAAAAATCATAGCCCAAGTTTCGCCTTTTCCTGTAATTGGGGTCATTGCATAATGGCTTCCTATCTTCTACCGGAAGAAGTGTGTCAACAGCCTTAGCCATTGGAGCAGCACATATAAAATCTGTCAACTCTGCAATTGATGAATCCGAACCACATCTCTCCATGTATATTGAAGCCTCAGCCTCTAAGTACCCCATTTTCGTCAAGTATAACAGTTTATTCTCCTCATCAGAATCAGAATTCAGGATTTCCTCAGTATCAGAAGAACTATCAATATCTGTGAAATCATCCTGAAAGATCGCTTCATAATCAAATGAGTAGTTATCAGAATCAACATGTTGTATGGATGTTGACTTTTTAAGAGCCTGTACCACTGTATATATAGTCTTGCTATTGCATTAAAATAATATTATTGTTCACATGAATTGGTTTCTCTCCCATGGAAAAGTATACTCCAGAAATAGCCTTCAATGAAAATAAGGTTCACTGTGTCGGCCTGGAATGAATTACCAAGCGATTTATACCACTCTGTCCGACTAAATCCTTTCAGATCCAAAAAATAGGCACCTCATTCAGAAGAGACACATATCTCAGACATTTTTGTCAAAATAATTTATTACTTTTTAAGTTATGACAACATAAAGAGAAATCCTCAAGTTACTTGACAACTGCTGTTTAGTGACATCAAAATGATAGTATTCAAGATAATCAAATTTGAGGCACGGATGAAGTCGCAAGTACCCACAACAGTACATTGTCAAAATTGGACCTCGTGGGGATCATGATATTGAAATCAAACAAACATTGAAGTAAGCCTTACAGTTTAAAAGGTTTGGGGCATTTTGAAGGCCCAATTCAGACAGATCCATGTTGGACATCTTGAAAGCCCATTTCAATCAGAAATAGAATAGTGGGGCATTTTGAAGGCTCTTAGTAATATGAATATTTGGGCATTCTCGGAGGCTCATCTCAGCAAGAAGTAATGTTGAGCACACTTTTAACATCTGTATCAGTAAATGTTGGGGCATTTTAAAGGTTACTTCTGACAGATCCATGTGTGGTATTTTGAAGGCTCAAATTAACAAAAAGAAAATGATGGAGCATGTTGAAAGCCCATTTCAATCAAAATTAGGAATGTTCACGTATTTTGAACGCTTGTATAAGCAAATGTTGGGGCATGCTAAAGAATTATATCATCATGTGTCAAGATCATTGATTTGAGCAAATATTTTCAATAAGGCAGAAAGGTAGGAAGAATGAAAATGGTTAAACAGTGACAGTCGAGTTGACTATACGTAATTGCTTCGTTCATCAGGCAGTTGTATTAGGGTCCTGTTGTTGAACAAATATTTACTCAGCAAGTATGGTTTCAAATACCCAATCTTCTTAACCATATGTCACATGACAACGTGTTTTTTTGTTAAGATACATCACGGTTGCATGAATAAAGATGCTCCCCATATAGACCATTCGATCCATGGTTCAGTTCATCAAAATATCGGCTTTGAATTTTATATGATGTGTGTCGGTGATGATTGGAAATATTTCTTTAAGATTCATTGCAGTTAGTTCCAATCATACTATTGGGGCTACGAAGATGTTTTTCAGAACAGTTTTTGTTTACTTGATGCCATTGAATAAAGAGGCTCAGCTTATGTTACCCTTATTCCCGTTGTTACTGGAGTTATCATTGCCAGCCAGGGTGAACTGAGTTTTCATCTATTTGGTTTATCATGTGCGTTTCATCCACAGCAGCAAGAATTCCATGGACCTCTTTTTGTACATGGCTCCTATAGTTGATGTGTTTCTGCTTCCTAAAACGCTCATTATGGAAGAAAACGTGATCGATATCACACTTTCCCTTGCTCAAGATGATATCAAGAACATTTGGTATCTCTTGTTCAATTCAGCACTAGCATATTTTGTGAATTTGACCAACTCTTTGGTCATGAAACACACCAATATCTCACTTGTATTCACATTGAGTTTTGCTCTCAAATGGTCTTGCGACATCATACAAAAAACTTTGAACACTATGAAAGAGCTTCATTGACCAGAAATTTGTGCAAAAGCGACGAGAAAGGATGAATGTATGTCAAATATTTTATGAACCAGTTTTTATGAGGCTGAACCAATGTTGTGATCATATGGTTTCTATTTTTCAAGAAAAAATCTGTCTTTTTCAATCTCAAGGTTAGAAGTGAGATATGATGAAGATTTCTTTCCACAGAAGGGAAACAAAATTTTAACAACAAGAAACTAGTGAAGCCAACTAATGTTGAACGACAGGTTGTTCATAAGCATCTTGACATGATATAGTCCAAGTTGCCTTGTTCGAGATCTGATTAGATGTGGAGACATGAAAAGAATTAGGATAAATCTTCCTTGTGATGTGTTTCAAGAGTCAAATCAAAACAAACTCTATTCTCCTAATTAATCTCTACTGAGTTTAGCATATCTACATCTACATTCTCCATAGATGATAAATTCTCTCTTCAAAGATAATAGATCTTCTCTTTAACGATGATAGATTCTCTTTTCAAAGATGAACGCTTTATTGGATTTCTACATAAGTCCAGACAAAGAAAGCCGGTGTTATCAGAGATAAAATGGGGCATCAAGGTCATAATTCTGATTACGGCAAGAGTTCTATAAATGAAACATTTATTTTGAGACTTTAATGAAACAAAGAAGACAAATATACAAGTGGATCAGATGGTTCATCAGAAATGCAGCTTGAAATGACATTTTGATTAAGTGAAGGAAGATCGAGTTCGCCACTTTGAAATCAAATGAAGGATTTCACATTCATACATTCATAAAAACATCATTTACATAAAAGAAAATGCATTACATTGATACATTTGATTGCATTCAAATATGAAGTTTTACAGGTTTTCATATGAAAAAAAAGAAGATTCATGATGGAAAATACCATACAAGAAGAAGGTCGAATACAGGAAATATCTGAAGAATATATGGATGCAATCTACATAAGAAGCATTATTTTGAAATGGGGCATGTTACCCAATCAACAAATTACTTCGAAAAATGAGAAAACGATTTCCAAAGTTTCTCATTTAATCTTTTCTGAAAATGAAATTGTTCAATAGTAAGAAAACGATTTCCAAAGTTTCTTACTTAGTAAACTATTTCCCAAATTTATAAGTCCTACGAGCCATCCATAAGACCTCCAGTGCATGATGTTTTCAAATAGTAATTTATCTCACTTGAGATTGTTTTTCTTAAAACAAATTACGTCTTACTTGAGACAGTTTCACTCGAAACAACAATTTATCTCACTTGAGATTGTTTTTCTTAAAACAAGATTCGTCTCGCTTGAGACAATTTTACTAGAAACAGAAATTTCCATCACTCGATGGATCAACATTTCCAGAGGAAGTTCATAATAAGAAGAACTCATCTGAAGAGGAATAAGAAGTTCATAATGAGAAGAACTTGTTTAACCTTTTTCTTGAATTCATCACTCGATGGATCAGTATTGCCATGTAGAGTTCATAATGAGAAGAACTCATCTGAAGAAGGAATAAGAAGTTCATAATG